ACATAAATGTATCCAATCAAATGTGATTTGTGGTGGCAACCTCTGAAACGTTTCATAGGGGTGGCCAGATGGGGCCACTGAAAACCAAAAGCCGGCAGGAGGGGGTCAGAGTGACCCTGTGACGGACCATCAAAAGCAGCTGGCAATGCATTGTTATGTTTTTCACAGATAGAAGCATATTATGCATTACTCAAAAGCATATTATGCATATGTGACTCGCAAGGGGAGGCCAGCGAGGGGGCCAACGATTGTTTCAAGGGGGGCTCCTTGGGATAGAAACCAGAGGATCTGCAACCTCTGTAAAGACAATCGTTTGGGAGATTAGTATCATATTAATGTAAGAATGTAAGCATAATGAATTATAGACAAAGATATCTACCAAAGTAGTATTTAAACCGCCCATCTATGTTTAAATTAATAGTGTTACAATTAGATAAGTCTAAAGTTATTGGTAAACTAGGTGCCTTTTTGAATATTGTTATTACTGTATATTCATTTTATGTTCCATGCCATGTGATTATGGTCATGAGCTGCAAATAAATGAAATTAAATTGTTATATATTTATACAGTCACATTGATCTCTCTTTCCTACCAAACAACCACTCTCATCTCTTCAGCATTGAATTCCCTCAATGAAAATCTATTTCTAATCAACACACAGTTGGGTCTGGTCATTTTGAGACTTAATCCATACACCCTCCACTGTTCGCGGTAGTGGGGAAATCCATAAGGGTAGGATCTGATCTGGAAACCAATATACCTATCCATGTGCCTGTTAAGGCTGAGGTGTGACTACCATTAGAGATTACATCAAGGCTACTCACCCTGTGCACTGGGGTCTGCTACAGCTGAGTGGCAGCGAAGAGTGGAAGTGGTTTAAGTCAGAGGGTAAAAGAAAAAAGAAGAAACATAGGAAATTAGATAGGAGACCAGGAGTGAAATACTTACACTCCCTATCTCTTTAATCTATTTATCCACCTCTCTCTATTTTACCTAAAACAAGCTCCAAGTGTCAAAAAAAAAAAAAAACACAGTTTGCAGCACAGCACCACATCATCTATTTGTAGTTTGTGAGAAGGTGTTTACGTTTTCTACGTTTAATCATACACTATAAACAGACCTCACACACACAGTCAGTGACTAACCAGTCCATGAAACCCACACATGAAGCCCTAAAGTACAGTAGTAATTGATGTTTTGCTACGAGCCCACACCCATTGAGTGCCTTTCCATGTAACATCACTTCCTGCCCCAACACTGCCTCCCTGTGGACAAATAGTGTGTGCATGCATGTGTGATCATGTGCATGGGTGTGTGACAAGGGGGGCACTTACCAGCCACACACACCAGGAGTGAAGAGAGGAAGAGCAAAATAGTTTCCATGGCAACTGTTGATATAGAGTAATAAAGAAGGAGGGTGAGAGAGAATGAAAGAAAGACAAAAAAATTACAGTGAGAGAGGTCTGTTTTAAGCTACACTACTCCAGCACATATATGGGACATAAACAATAACAATGAACACACGTACTGTACACATTCAGTTCAAATAGGCTGTACCACACAGACTATGCCCACACAAGCACACATGCAGTAAGTGGTTTTGTTAAAATGAGAATCAACACACAGCACTGGCTCTATCCAAACCCCTGGAGTTTAACTGATGTAAAAGGCCTACGGATATAGTTTCTCTTTCTGAACAATCCATGTTCAGAGCCTGCTTACATGTGCTCTTTTCCTCGCAGAGATTACTTCTATCCCTGTAGACATCACACAACCTTGGCCCATTTTCATGTAGGCTATTCATTCATGCACACATGCCAACTGTGTCTCCTACAGAGAGATGTGTTCATGTTTAACTATCATACATTTTGCCAATGCAAATGGTTTTTCTTATTAGCCATCCGCGCTGCATGGCTCCAGGGGTGGCAATGTCAGCCTGTCAATCAGCCAGTCGGTGGGTTTCCCTATTTGCTGAAAGAAACACTGACATATCTCAACATCTTTTACATGGATTGCCATGAATTTTTGTACAGACATTCACGATCACCAGAGGATGAATCCTAATTACTTTTGTGGTCCTATGACATTTTTGGTTTTTAGCGACATGTTTTTACAACTATTGGATGGATTGGCACATTCTGCTCCTGGGAACTAAACAGTGATTATGGTTTTATGGGTGTTTTGGCAAAAGAAAGCACTTGATTAAAGGCATGCACTTCATTTATCCATTTAAAGCCAGACTTTACTTGATTTAAACTTTGAAATTTCATCCTTTACTTTTAGTCAGTGACATCTGAGCAGAAGAAACAGAGTGTAGGTAGAATGAGTAAATGTCTTGGTCCTCACATTTATAAAACTCCCACATAGACAAGTTTGAAAGGTCAGGTAATCTACTGCTTTTTCTTTCTAATATTTCAATAAAATAATGTCCAGGGCACTGTACAAATGCAGACCTGATGGGAACAAGTAATAAATCAATATATGCGCTTGCTGAATGGTGGATCTCCCCCCTGACAATGCATCCAACAATTTCTGTAACTTTCAGAGAATTTATTTTCAAACTTACTTCTCGCTTGATTGGCCAGCTGTACAGAGGTGAAAAAGTCAGCTAGGTGTGAACGTCTCTCTAGATCTTTTTTTTTTTCTTCATTGTTACACAGCTATTTGTGGCAGTTTTCCTGTTAGCAACCAAGTGCAACCTATGAATGCCTCCCAGGAAAGATTGTGTGCCATTATCCTCATTTTGAAATGATATTGCCTTTCCTCCCTTTTCACTTCTCCTTCTAGTGTGGCCGTACATGGTTGGACAACACACGGTATGAACTAGTTCTGATAGAGTATACCCCAGCCTTAAGCTTATAAAAGCTCTAGACAAACCATGTTTCTAGCCTTCAAGAGTCCAAAAGCTTTATTTAACTCAGACTTTACCACTCTTGTTTGAGGGTGCCACCTGTTTTTTTCTTTCCATCCATTTCACTAATTGGAGTGTTGATTGACTGGGTATATTTTTGTCCATCTACCCATCTGCCTGTTTGACTGTTTTCAGCTGTATCAGTGGTAGTGCACTTAAATGAACAAGAACAAGTCCATCATAGTCATTAGCTTAGGTACTGACTGTAGCATTAGTTCAGTTGCTATTTGTATGCTGGTGCTCCATGTATTTGTTTTGTGAGCCCTCGCACAGATCTGAGCAACACACTGGTAACATTTATGAAATAATTGTGACACAAGGCTACAACTGAGGAACATAAGGCCTATTGCATCCATTTGTGACATCTACCCTTAAAATGCAAATCAACCCTATGACCTTACACAGAAAAAAAACATTTGTTTAAAGGGCTGTTTTCATGCAAGAATATTCTACTAGACCTTGACCAGTGCCACCTTGGACACAATCAATCATTCCATTCACCTCTTTCCCCTTTAGTCCTCCTTGAGTATCACTGGCACTGCCCTCTCCTTGCTCAAATCATATCTCTGACTGATACCAGTTCATCAGTATCAACAAATTCAACACAGCCCAGTCTCTCAGGGGGTCCCCCAAGGTTGGGTGCTTGGTCTCCTCCTCTTCATCCTCCACCCGCTTCCCCATGGCCTACATTTCCACTATTATGCTGACACCCAGCTGTACATCTCCAGAGAAGTGAATTACTGCTGCCATATCAAATCCTGCCACAATTTCTTCCTCGGCATTGATGGCTCAAGTTCCACACATATCCGCAACGTTGGTGGCACCTTTGATTAAACCCTCTCCTTCAAATGCCATGTTAATCCTATTAAAAAAACTGCCTTCTTTCATCTTAAAAACATTGCCCCTCTTCGCCCCTTCATTTCCTTCTCAGGTGCTGAAATCATTCACACCTTCAACACCTCACAACTCAACTACTGCAACAGCCTTCTTTACAGCACATCCACCAAAACAAACTGCAGTACATCCAAAACTCAGCTGATTGTCTGATCACATCATCCCAGTCTTTCAAAACCTCCACTGGCTCCTCATTCAACAAAGAATACAGTTCAAATTTCTCATTGTCACCTACAAAGCCCTCCACAACCTACTACCTCACCAACCTCTAGCAGCTACATACTCCTACCAGCAACCTCATATCTGCTGACGCCACGCTCCTCAGCTTTCTCACCTGGTCCAAGCACTGGACCTGGGGGGATAGGGCCTTCTCTATTGCTGCCCCCACCCTCTGGGACTCTCTCCCCCAACACCTCAGACATTCTCCCTCACTCCCATCTTTTAAACCTTTTCTCAAAACCCATCTATTCTGCTTTCAATCTGTGATCTATTACCCTCCCCCTTTTTTCTCCTTTTTTAATTTTTAATTTTAAATTTTTTGTATTGCTTCATTTGCTGTTTTGTTTCTTGTGTTTATAGTTGTTATAGTAGTTGTTTTTATACTGATATTACCTTTGCTGTTTGTGATGGCCCAAGCCACACAG